TTCAGGAGGAACACAGCACAGCGCAGCGGGGATGAAGAGGGGGATGAAGAGGAGTTTACACCTGCATCACGAACAACATAAGGCTTCATCAGATTAACATGGCACACACAACACTTTCTCCTATGGTCTGGGGTACCTATAATATAATCTGTGTCACTCAGTTTCTCTTGAACAGCATAGGGCCCACAGAACTTTGCCTGGAGAGAGGATCCAGGAACGGGTAGGAGAGTCAACACTTTGTCACCCTCCTCAGATTTTCTCTGCACAGACTTCTTAATCAAATTTCATTTTCATTTTCTCCTGAGACACGGAAAGCGTGCAATTTTGCAGGCTTTATGCAGACGCTCCCTACAACAATTTACGTAATCGAATACGTTCCGCTCAGGGATAGCCGTGCCGGACAGATATTTCTCTTTAAGCAGCCGCAGGGGACCACGCACTGTGTGTCCAAACACCAGCTCCGCGGGACTGAAACCCGTGGACTCCTGCACACTCTCTCTCACCGCTAGAAGGAGAAGTGGCAGACCCTCACCCCACTCTCTTCCTGACTCGAGGCAGAACTTCCTCATCATGGCTTTTAATGTTTGGTGGAAACGCTCAAGTGCACCCTGTGATTTGGGATGATACGCACTGGATTTTTGATGCTTTATGCCGAGCGATTTTAAGACCTGAGCGAAAATTTTGGACATGAAGTTTGACCCTTGGTCCGTTTGAACTGATTTAGGCAACCCGAAAGTGGAGAAAAAGTTTACTAATGCTCTGACGATGGCTTTGACTTTGATAGTGCGTAGCGGAATCGCCTCGGGGAAGCGTGTGGCGGCGCACATCAAAGTCAAGATGTACTGATGTCCTGACTTTGTTTTTGGAAGCAGACCTACACAATCAATGATTATGTGCTCAAATGGTTCCCCTAAAGCCAGGATTGGATGCAATGGAGTGGGAGGAATAACCTGGTTGGGTTTTCCACTGACCTGGCAAATGTGGCATGAATGGCAGTACTTGGTTACATCAGACTTCAAACCTGGCCAGAAAAAGTGACGCAGAATACAGTGGCACGTTTTCCTAATTCCTAAATGTCCAGAGAAACTGTCATGTGCGAGGCTGAGTACTTGAGGTCGGAATTTTACAACTACCTGTTGAAATACATTCCAGCCAAGATCACTAGATGAGGGAGGATGCCATGTACGCATTAATCATTTTCAATGCTAGTGACTTTGAGATCATCCACCGTCCAGGTCGAGTGCACACCAATGCTGATAGCCTCTCCAGAAGACCCTGTCGCCAGTCCTGTCCATGCAGAGTGCAGGACCCCCCCCAAGCATCTCGGGGGGACCAGTCATCAGGCGGTCCAATGCGAGTTGGACTCTGACACCAGCTCCCTGTTGCTGAGTCCGGTGAGGGTGGAGGGACAACCGGCTACTACAGCGGTGTGCCTAGTGGGGGTAGGTCATGACACCACTACACCAGAAACAAAGACTTTAGACCAAACTGCTCTTACTATGTCAGACATTTTATGTCAAAACACTCCTACCAACACAGACATCTCAGAACAGATAATTCACACTAGAACAGACATATCACA